GGTTTTGGGGCTTGGGACCCTAAACCCTAAACCGTAAACCCTAAACCCTAAACCCCAAGACCCTAAACCCTAAACCCCCAAGACCCTAAACCCTAAACCCCAAGACCCTAAACCCTAAACCCTCCAAATTTTCTGCCCCTTCTGCAGGCCAAAGGCCTTGACCAGCTGGCCAAAGAGGTGGAGACGGGCGCCTCGAGGCATCATCTGGGCAGTTGTCAAAATTATGGTCCCTTTTGGGGTACCCTAAATAATAGGTGCCGTATTATAATAAGGACCCAAAAAGGGACCATAATTTTTGACAACCACCCATCTGAAAATCAGGGCTCTTGGGGTTTAGCAGAGTGGAGTTTCAGGTTTAGGGTTCAGTGGGCTTCGGCTTAGAGTTTGCAGGGTTTTTAGGGGGCTTCTCATGGCCTTTGTTAGTTCTTTCTGTTGATGCTGTCTGTAGAGCGTCTCTTGAGGTTTCTTGTCGTCTTATAGGATTCTAGGATCTGCGTCGTAGGGCTTGGGCTTCCACGGTCTACTTTAGGTGTGGGTTTTCTTGTTTGTGTCGGGCTTTCCAGGTTCAGGGAGGTGGGACCTGAAGACAGACTCGGCGTGAGCTTCGGAGCGGGCTATCTCTTTGCCAGGGCATCACGCGTACTTTATGATGTAGGGAGATACTGCGCCCGACGGACGTCCTCTAGCTTCCTCGCACGAGGGGCACTGGGTTGAGAGTTCGCCGTTAGCCACAACAGTCCTAAACCCTCAGCCCTAAGTCCTCAACTCTTCGACCCTTAACGCTGAGAAGATAAACCCGACACCCAGAAAAGAGCAGGCTCATGTTGGATGCGCAGCAGCACAAGAAGCTGGTATCAGCCTCGAGTTTCTAGCGGGTGATAAGGTTAGGGCTTGGGTCATTACAGGTTCGGACTTAAAAACCGTTGGGGCTGTAGGGTTTCCGGTCTACGATTTTGGAGGGTTCGTTTGGCGTGTTTCAGGTTTCAGAGCTGTTTGTGTTCTGGAGTTTTAGGGTTTGGGTGTTTAGCGGTTCAGCAATTTTGCGGATTGAGATTCGGGCGGTCTCGGGCTCTGGGGCCGGGGGTTCTTGTCTGAAAGGACTGCGGGGGAAGGGGGGGGGGGGTTTAGGATCTAGGTTCTGGCAGCTTGAGGTGAGGTCTGGATTGTGCGGTTTGGGGTTGTTTTTGCATGTTGGGGGTTCAAGAGTTTTAGGTAGCGGGGTCCCTAAGCTCTAGAGACGTACAAAAACAATAAATGGTAGGACGCTGGGGATTTTGGACTTGGTTTCTTCGCGGTTATGCCCGTTCAGTTGGAGGGTACTAGTAGGGAAGTGCAGAAATCTGCCCATCAGCAGTAATCGCACCCTCAGGTGCGTGTGGTGGATGTGGTGGTGCTGCTCGGGCCCTGGGTGCTCAGAGTTCAGGGCTTGTGGCATCGGTGTCGTCTTAAATAGTTGCGACGCCTGGATTCCAGATGCAGGCGCCAGATTTCGCACCCCCTGCTGTGTAAGAGGATCGGTGGAAGCTTCTACCAAAAGGCCCTAACCTTAAACCCCTAAACTCTAAAGCCCTAAACCCCGAAACCCTAAACCTAGAACCCTATCCAGTATAAGAAGAAGTATGTGAGAGGGAGGAATCCAAGTGACCCTAACCCCTGAACCCCTGAACTCTCAATCCAAAGAACCCCCTAAACTCCGCAACCCCCTAACCTCGGCCAGCGTGAGATTCAGCAGAACCCTAACCCTAAACCCCCTAAACCCTAAACCCTAAACCCTAAACCCTAAACCCCAAACCCCAAACCCTAAACCCTAAAATCCAAACCCTAAACCCCATACCCAGACCCTCCCCCCCAAAGTAACCCCGAACCCAGAAGCATCAACACAAGCGCACCTCAAGGAAGCTCCGCCCTAGTGACGGCTCGCGGCTTCTCGTGGAGTCCAAGGCCCGGATTGGTATAGGGTTTAGGGTTTAGGGTTTAGGGTTTAGGGTTTAGGGTTTAGGGTTTAGGGGCCTTACAATAGGGTTTCGGGGTTTATTGTGCTATAATTACAATAAGGAACGCCAGAAGAGTATTTGTTATTATTTTGGCCCCTGTCTTAACCGTATTTTTGTTAATGCTCATGTTCTTCAGGACTCAAAGGTGACAAAGGGTTTAGAGCTTAGGGTGTGGGTTCGGGGATTCAGAGTTTAGGGCTTCGGGTTTCCGTGTTTCAAAGCTTGACCTCCTTACTTCCACTTGTTGCGGTTTAGGGTTTAGGGTTTAGGGTTTAGGGTTTACAGTCTTGCGTACGCGCGAATGGGTGTAGGGCTTCGTATTTCTCGATGAGGATCTTCCGGGTGTGACTTGAGCGCCTGACCCTTGCTTGCTGCAGGGCCTCGGCAGTGCCTGTGTTAGTTATATGGTATGTAGGCAGTTCTCTGAATCAGGGTCCCTTGTTGATTGTCGTTTCTACAAGGGTGCCATACTACTTTGGGGGCATAAAATGGGATCCTAATTTAGAGAAGTAACCATATAGACCCTAAGTCCTAAACCCCCAACGCCAAACTCTAAACCCTAAACTAGATGCAACTCCAAGTCTACTCTCAAAGTTATTCTAGTAGGTGGCTCCATGTCAGCTGTCCGCCTTGAAGATTCTTGGGTAATGACTCAATGCTCGTTCGGGCTTGAGGGTTTAGAAAGTTTAGGATTTAGGGTGTAATTGCTCGGTACTCCGTGGTGGAGCAAGAATATGCAGAAAGCAAGCCGGCCAAACGAATATCTGGCCCAAAGCCCAACCAAGTTAGGTGCTTATCGTTTGACCTACCAGCCCTAAACCCTAAACCTTAAAAAGACCCTAAAGCCCTTGCTGTTGAACACTGAGCCTCTTCGGCCCTCCGCCCTCATTTTCCGGACTTCAGCCACAGACGTTGTCTTTCTAGGGTTCTAAAGGGTAGGAAAAGTAGGGTATCAGGATGACGACCGAGACCTAGGGTTGACGCCATAAGAGTTTGGTGATACCCTAAAGGCCCTAAACCCTAAA